GCGCAGGGAGGTGTAGCGAGTGACCAGCGACGACATCGCCCACCAAAACTACATGGTAGGGTTGCGCATATGAGTGCGCCCAGGGGACGGCTGTAACTTGCGTCGAATAAGGCCATGCAGATTGCCACGTCCAATGTACTGGGCCTGCTGGTCGGAAGGGATGCCTTCGGTACGTGCAATAGCCAGTTCCAAAGTAGCGCTGATAAGATTGGGAAATGGACTTGACGTCATCTGCCGAGCCTGCGGGGAAAGCCCACGCCTTCGAGTCCGAGCAGGTACTTATCCACGGCCGAGCCTCAGAGGCAGCGGCGGCCCACTCGTCCGAATCCACTCGAAAGGGTACCTGCGCAGCTTCATCTTCAGGAGCCTCGTCATCAGGGGGGTTGGCCACATCGAAGGCGCCCTGCAGGTCGGCGCTGAGCCGATCTCGTCTGCGAACACGAGCTTCCTCGCGGCGCCACGAGCGATTACTGTCAGGGTCTGAGGCTCTCTTGGGCCTGGGCCTTTGTGGTAGCTCATGGGAGAATCCAGAAACCTGATGCCGCCAATCCGCATGGCCTGAAAGAATCTCAATATCCAGGGCAACGTGTGTCTTCCATGGAACTAACTCGAATGGCTTGCCTATGAGTTGGTCTGCAAAGCCCCTCTTGACAACCAAGTAGTCGATCAAAGAGCCACCGCCAAGAGTACAAGTCGCACTACATCCACGCGGAGTAACAATCTCCCCGCCCCACACTTCAAGCAAGCCGCTCTTGGTCAGCTCGTGCGGTTCCAAATGCCAGGCCGCACAAATGATCCACGGGCCAGCAACGAGCAGACAAACCTGCTGGTAGCTCGCAGGCGGGGAGTACTGATGCCACCTGTTTTGGGCCCTGGGAAGAGGTAGGCCGACAACAGCGCAACATTGCCACGCTTGAGATGCAGGGTGCTGGTACAAAACCCCTCAGTGGCTCTAGGTTTGGCAGCGCGGAGCCGCCCCCAGGAGGTGGCTGCAATGCGCCTTTTGTGTATAACCCACTCACCACCCCTGGGGCCGGCAGGTGAGGATGCTGAAGCCGATGCATGGGTGCCAACCATATTCCATCCATCCTTGGGCAGCTCCGCGCGGGCAGCCTCCATGCCACTAACCTTGACATGGGTCTCAACGAAGGCTACAGTCTCAAACGTGGCGCCTGCTCCTCGCGTGAATGACTGAGCCTTGGGGCCCCACTCACTGATATTGGCGAACAACAAGCGGGCCGAGTGAGGATTGGCACCGCCCTCCTCCGTAGCCTCCACGCACGGGCCTCCATTGGCATTGCTCTGTGCGCAAGAAACCGAAGCCGAAGGGGGAGCCGAAGTCGGGGTGCTCCTCGAGGTTGGCGCCGTCGCCGAAATCGAGGCACACGTAGAGGTCCTCGGATCCAAGGGTGGCGATGCAGGGGCCCACGCA